ACATTGTTTTACTCTTTGTCAGACCATAAACTAGAAATGACACAATTGTGCTTGTCGAAAATCGGATTACTCTACAGAAACTTGTGGGCCATGTGCTGCTCTACATTTTGATGATGCAGAATAATGAAGAAAAACATAATTTTGGAACTACAATGTCATCCTTTTTATTGCTGCCTACAATGATTTTCACAGCAGGGTATAACGTGAAATCCCCACAATGATTATTACTACGCTTTGTGCTAGCTGATAAAAACACCGACTTCTGCACGATGTGCGCAATGATGTATGCTCGGAAGAAACACAAGTTGTTACCACCGGACATTATCATTATATATCCACCATCAGCATCGTGTATAAAAAAGCATCACTGAGTGAGGATGCCTCATTCGAGAAGATGGCTCGCTGAGGAAGATCTGGCTCGACACGAAGGCGAAGCTGCAACGTCGAGACGAACAACAATCATGGGACCGTCGACTCGGATCATCGACTCTGAGGAAGACGAAGACGTCGAAACGTTAGCCGAAAATAAATATATTTATCAACCTCGTGCAAGCTTATCAAAAAAAAAGAATACATATTGATTAGTCACACCGAGGTTTACACGATGTGCGCAATGATGTATGTCCGGAAGAAATACAAGTTGTTACCACCGGACATTGTCATTATATATCCACCATCAGCATCGTGTATAAAAAAGCATCACTGAGTGAGGATGCCTCATTCGAGAAGATGGCTCGCTGAGGAAGATCTGGCTCGACAGGAAGGCGAAGACGCAACGTCGAGGCGAACAACAAGCATGGACCATCGACTCGGATCACCGGCTCTGAGAAAGACGAAGACGTCGAAACGTTAGCCGAAAATAAATATATTTATCAGCCTCGTGCAAGCTTATCAAAAAAAAAGAATACATATTGATTAGTCACACCGAGGTTTAGAGAAAGTCGGTTTCAAAATACCCACAATGACGTTGAGATAATCGCAAAACTTGAACTCTGGGCCAGACCAAACCACAACTTTTTCTGAGGTGTCGCGTATTACACACTGAACCACTAAGACCTTATTTTGCGTTTTTCTAGGCTGGCTTCTACCTACCGCTACCATCAGCAGCCACAAGTCAGTGGGATTGATCTGTGATGCACAAATCGGAATCGGCCAAGTCTCGGAGGTCCCTCATATTAGGGAACTCGTGCCGGTTAGTCGCAAGACTACTTGGCTCGTCTCCAGGTGGCGGATAGGAGGTTAATCGTGGACTAAAAGCGACGTCTGGTTCTCTGAGACGCAGGTGGATCCAGAGGATGGACTCCCTGTTTCTGCTACACCGATTTGGCACGTGTCTTTTGCATTTACTATGCGTAGGAATGCACTAGTGTGTAGGTGCGTTCAAGTTTATGCGGATTGTCTTCTACGAGCCTCCCAAAGGTTTACCGCCTCATGGTGGCTGGGACGTGTTCTTGGGTGTCGGACTGCGATGTACAACAGGGGATTCGTATACCCGGCAGGGTCTCCCAAGCTGAGAACGAGTTGGACGTTTGCATCAGGAAGCCTAGGTAAGAGTAAACCAACACCGATATCCACCGCCGTCCTGGTATCAAACTCGCATGGTGGCGAATCTCCCTCTAATCCATATGGGCTGCGACTGCCCGTGGTGGTAAAGACTTGAGGCAGACTTTGACCAGACTGACCTCGGGGCTCCAGGGAACCGCAATGATTTAACTAGCAAGTCTCCGAAAAACGGTGATTATGCTGGAGCCCGCACAACCAGTGAGGACGGGCCATTCAAGTATCAAGTTCAAGTGAGTATTCTACGAGTCAATTCGGCCAAGACTGCGATCAAATGACAGCGAATATATAGGATGCAGTTGGGAGTCGCCTCCAACAAGTAAGCTCCATGTCAACACAGATAGAATGGCAAGCTACCCGCTAGTATAGCGAGTCCATACGTCCACAGCCCAGAAAGCTAAACGTGAGTACCAAAATCTTAAATACAGCAAAAGGAAACGTACCCCAAACCCCTGACCCCGAAAGAGCCTCCAATTCGGCAGCGTTGGGTAGGACGAGTGCTTTGTGCTAGCTGATAATACACCGACCTCTGCACGATGTGCGCAATGATGTATGTCCGGAAGAAATACAAGTTGTTACCACCGGACATTGTCATTATATATCCACCATCAGCATCGTGTATAAAAGGGCATCACTGAGTGAGGATGCCTCATTCGAGAAGATGGCTCGCTGAGGAAGATCTGGCTCGACAGGAAGGCGAAGACGCAACGTCGAGGCGAACAACAAGCATGGACCATCGACTCGGATCACCGGCTCTGAGAAAGACGAAGACGTCGAAACGTTAGCCGAAAATAAATATATTTATCAGCCTCGTGCAAGCTTATCAAAAAAAAAGAATACATATTGATGCTGAGATATTTGCAAAACTCCAGAATGCAGGTGTCTGCGGTGGGGAACGAACGCGCTATTGTCCTTTCCGGGGAGTAGCGCGTTCACCACATCATGCTGTCGCAATCTAAATGTCTGAAATTTTCAACCTAGTTGCGGTAGTGGTGGTGGCGAACGCATGTGGCGCAGTGGTAGGAGGCGCCACTGCGACACACACGTGGAATAGATCCTCGCTCCCATGGCCCACCAAGCCCTCTATTTCTTGGGGCGGCAAATTGGTACCAGACTTGTCTGGGAGAATAGCAGCACTGGCTTTACACATCGGTAGGCCAGTGCGAGTCAGTGTAAAGGCCAAATATGCATTCAGTCACCTCCAACGATGCTTAGTGTCGAATGCGCGGCGCATCCCTAAGGGATTTATTAACGCTGAGAGTTTCATCTTTTTTAGCTTTACTTACGGTACTCGCAAACACAAGCGACATCTTTTGCAACGACGTCCTCTTATGCTACAAAAAAAACCGTTTCTTTAGTTTCTTTGGTGATAGGAATTCTCTAGGAAACCATATATTCCTCCGGCTAAAAAGGTAGCTTATACTTGTTTGGATCCACAAGCTCCATTCTATTTTATCTCAACTGATGAAGATTGCTATGAACTGAAATATGTTTATTTAATGTTGCGTGCGCCCACAGTTTTCGTACCGTATGAACCATAAACATGGATATGACTCATATTACCTCAAATATGTGAAATATAATCTGAAAATGGGGCAGAACGCGCTATAGTCCTCTCCGGGGCGTAACGAGTTCACCACCACACCATGCGGGTCCTTCGTTTCGTGTGTCTGTTAGCTAGATCTATTGATCTTTTGCAATCAGCAATCACCCGTCAGCGGGATTGATCTGGAGAGCTCAAATCGGCAACGAACCCAGTTAAACTGAGGCTGGAGTTATAATCACAATTTTAACTTATTATTTACTGCCTACTCTTTTTAACGGCGGGGTATATATTGCGAAATATAACTTTAATGATGCTGAGATATTTGCAAAACTCCCGACCGCAGATGTGGTGGTGAACGCGCTACTCCCCGGAAAGGTCAATAGCGCGTTCGTTTCCCACCGCAGACACTTGCGATCCGGAGTTTTGCAAATATCTCAGCATCATTAAAGTTATATTTCGCAATATATACCTTGCCGTTAAAAAGAGTAGGCAGTAAATAATGAGTAATCTGAAAAGTTTTTCACTAAGACTCCACAAATATTGTTAACGTGAAGATTGCTCCTGTAACCTCCTTCCTACGATGAGGGATTCCCAGCTGATTGCTCGCTTCCACAAGGAAGGAAGGTAATAAGCAATCACTATAATTCGAACATGCTGAATTATTTGTAGCATAAGTTGACCAACTTCATTACAGACCTTATAGATGGAAATACTCTCTTACGACTTGCAATTCATGGAAAGAAATCTGAAGCACAACAACTGTGTTATGTAAAATGGAATCAAAATGTTTTTGTATAATGTTATTTTCATTTTTATTTGTTTGAAACATAATCTTTTACATAAACTAGAAATTAAATTTAGATTTTTGTAAGAGTGGCTATTCCTACAAACCTATAATGAAAAGCCAGTGTTTGTTTTCACCGGAAATGGCTTTTTGCCGCACCATCTTGCGGGATTCCTCCTTCTGCTCTCTCTCAGAAGACTAACTGGCGACTTTTCGAAGCTTGTTTCAGGCAAAGGTGCCGTTTGTGTGTTAAGATTAGCAGAAGAGGCAATCATTTGTTCTTGTTCATTTGCTTTCGTCCCACTCTGTGATGTAGTCACTTTTGAATATAGCAATTCGAGCGTTCGAAAACGGAAGCCAGTCCTTCTTTGAATGAAAATTACATTCTCTAAGAGTTGACTTTGTAATTCAAAACGTTTGCCCATCTGCTCTTGTGTTAAGCGGACAAAAAAGCAGTCGTCTTTATACTTAGGGAAGAGTATTGGTCGAAGCCTGAGTGTAACGGATTCAAATTCAGGCATAAATTATTGGCAAAGTTTGGCGCCAGTCAGTATCCTATTGCTAACCTTGAGATCAAGAAACGCCTCGTATAAACGGGTACCGTATATATAATGGGTAATACAGCCAGTGAATGTAAAGGACCGAGAAAAATAACCACAAACAGTAATTGCTAGCACCAAATTATAGAATTTTATACCAAAAAACATCTATATGCCCTTCAGATTTCAATAGTTGGTATCACACAAGCTCTCTACTCGATCTTCTCCAACGAAAAATTACTCGGAGCACCTATATAATTTTCACATGTAAAATACGCACTCGTATGCAGAAATTTCGAAGGGTCAAATAAAAACTTCGACGACTGTACAAAAAGCACAGTAATAAGCCTAAATTGAAGAAGAGGAATTTCAAAGCGGTAACAAATAACGGAATAGAATTGAATCTGAATTGGGTTGAGCAAAGTGGTGGCAAGCAACAAGACAACAGAAAAGCAAAATTTCGCTTGTTGGAAAAAATCAACTGTAGAAAATAAGCATCGAGGTGTGAAAACTGAGCAGCTCAAAATAAGTCCTATCTAACGGACTATGACGCTAACAGGTACAGAGCGTCTCAAAGCTCTTTTTTACTTTTCTTTCCTTTGCTAGATGGTGGTGGAGGACTCGGCTCTTCTTCATCGTCGTCGTCTAAAAACGAAAAACAACTTTTATTTCTGCGTGAACACAAGCTTGATTAACTTAAGGTTTTGCACCTAAATATTTTCCTTAACTAGTTAAGTTGTTAGATAAGTTGATGAGTTGATGTTGTTTAGTGGTTAGATGTTAGTTGTCTAGCAGCAGACTGTCTAGGTAAAGCAAATGCCGTTTCGAAACCAAAAGTTTAGTTACGCTTTTGCAAAGCAAAAACGTAGTAGCCACAGAAACATATTATTCATTTAGAAAGAACACATCACAAACTCACCGTCGAGGGTGATCGAACCGCTCATAATCTGGTCAATCCATGTTTGCAACACTTCGAAGTTGCTGTCGCTGTGCTTTTTAGGATCGTCCAGGTTTACTTGGGAAATATCAAACCAGATTCCTTCCTTCTAAAACCAAATGTGCTCTTTGGCATTCACCGATGCAACAAACAACAGAAGAATTGGAATGGATACTCTGGACTGTCATCGGATTGACATTGAAAACCAGGTAATGTCCTCCTAATAAAATAAATTTGTTACCCACACAGCAGTTTTGAATTTGATAGAAAAAGTCAAAAGCATAAATGCTTAAACTGAGAACATTCTGCGATAATGTTACAGCTTTGTGGCAAATCGCTTCGAGCGAAACTCGTTTCCTTGCTTCTCATTGAAATTACACCTCACATGTTGTAACTGCAGCACGTTCACATACATTTTTGTTTTGTTGCTCTGTTACATTCAAAGAAAAAAAAATCGGTTTCATCGTGGCTTTTTTGAGTCTTTATTCTATCATCTCTTCCATGAGTTTTAATAAAACTTAGCGCACTTACAGCAAAAAAAGAAAAGGTTTGTAGGGAAATTGTAGGAAGAATCTGGATTGGGGTCCGAGTTTGGCAAATATCTGAGCGTCATTGCGCTGTTGGAAGATTATTTCAAAGACAGCATGCACATTAATAAGATATTATGCATTGTTTTTTATGAAAGGCATATTAAAGGTAAATTTTAGTAAAATTATTTTTTTCTGGTTGGTTATAAAGGAACCTTTTGTTGGCTCACTTTACATCGATATGTGGTTTGGAAGAGGTTTATCTGGCTCTCCTCAATACCTTCCTACAGCCTTCCTTCTTTAGTATGGAAGCTGGAAGATATTGACAAGATATCGCTGGACTTTGTACTTTAAAACACGATGTAGAAAAACTGGCTAATTTTTAACGAAGAAGTTTGCTTCATCGATTTTATGTCTACTAGAATTTAAAGTCTTACTTGTGTTTCTCACACTGCTCAAAAACCTTGCATTTTCCTACCGTAAGGAAATCATTACCAATCATGGGGTCTACTTTTCACATCTACAGTTGCAAAAAAATTCACTCGACTTTTCGCAGTGTGTTTCTAAAACTAAATTGCTCGCAATGCGAAACAGAAGATAAGGAACTTGCAAAAAGTGCACAAACGCAGTACGAGGGAAAAAAAACACTAAAACAAGTCATAGGAAAGCTTTTGTCGTAAAAATTCGAATTTTTAGCTACTGGCTGCTTGTGAAATCATTGCCATAATAAAGTCTTAGTGATATCACCAAAAGAGATAAAAACATGGCTGAAAGAATGGCAAAACAAGGGCATCGGTTGGTGCTGCGGAGAGCACGCGAACCCCGGAAAGGGTAATTCCGGGCTCGAATCCCTCTGAGCTTCAGTGCTCTGGGCATATCTCAACACCCGTGTGATTCTACTCAACAGATTGTTCTAATATCTTGGGAACAAAATGTTATTAAAAAAAATAAAAGCAAAATTATCTAAGCCTTTTCCACTTGTTTAAATACCCACGACTTATGCTGCTGCGTTTGGTTTTTCTAAATCTGCCATATCAATAGCGAAACATGCGAAAGATCCGATTCCCATTTTCTCATTATTTAAGTGCAAGGCAACAAAGGAATCCTTAATTTTAGGCACATATCACACTTGCATTTTTCCCATTTTTCGTCTCTTAATTATCTGTTCATCAAAAACAGAGCCTTCTAAAAACGCTGTCATTATTAATCTTTAAAAAGTACTGTAAACACCAATCTCGGATATGTCGACAAGACCAATTTGAGGTCCTTCTTCGATGTCGATGCCAAACATCTCCTCCCACACATCTACCATAAGGGGAAACTCATCTAAAACCGTTAAAGAAATTAAGCCATTGAATAAATTTAAGCTATAGAAGTTAAACCTTCGTATTTCTAGAATCCATAAACTAAGCTTTCATAGGTACAGAGTGAGTGTTCAAAGTGACAAGTACAACAACTAGAAAAACGGAGTTTTTTTTGAAGATTTCTGGGTGCGCCCAAATTCCGCTGATAAAGAGGTGTGCTAAAAATTTGAAAAAAAGATGAAACCCAAATGCACTACTTCATATATAAGGGATAAAAAGGATAAAGCTCTAGGCGTTGATCAACCTCTGAGGGATATGTCATGCATTCGACTTCATTAAGCATCGTTAGGAGGTGAATGAATGCATATATGGCCTTTACAATGACTCGCGGTGGCCCACCAATGTATCGAACCAGTGCTGCTATCCTCCCAGACAAGTCTGGTACCAATTTGCCGACCCCGAAGGAATGAAAGGTTTGGTGGGCCATGGGCGTGGGGATCGATTCCAGGTGTGTGTTGCAGAGCGCCGCCGACCACTTCACCACACGCGCCCTACCTCATGTATATGATCTGAAATGTATAAATTTTTAGAAAGTGCTATAAACTGTTTTTGAAAAAAAGAGGTGTGCTGCTTTTGTTTGAGCATTCTGACAATGGTTTTCTGGTAAAACGTGCTTACTCTACTCTATTTTTTATAGGTGGTGGTATGTCATGAATACATTTGCTTGCTTCGAAATACTGAATTTAAAATGAATGTTTGATACCAGGATCGATCAACACAATCTCCAGCGTTCCGGCATGCTCTGAATTTTCATCGGCAATTTTATCGAGGAGCCTCTTCATCGCTCGGCCTTCTCGGGTCTCCTCATCCACAAATGCCAAAATCAGCCGTTCATCTTCTTCAGGATCTTTCTAGGAAGAGTGAATGTTGTATATTAATAATAAAAATCAGTAACATTTTTGCTACTTTTTCACAGAATTTAAAGCTGTTTCTTTTGCCCGCTTTTCCAAATTAAAATTTGATATAGAACAAAGCATTCCTCAAGTAACTAACCCAAACATTGAAGTAGTTCTCTAGCGTCAACTTTTGCATTACAGGTTCCTTGTGTTTCTCTACCCAATCCTCGATTTCTTCTTCTAAATAAAAATTTATCAAGCACACACAAGGAGAAAGCTTCTTGGAAGAAAATCTGCCTGTATCAGCTGAAGATGGAGCAAAAAGAGGGTCTTCTTCAAATGGCCGAAGCATTTGTATTTCTCCTATCCGTTTCAGTCCAACTTTTCGAGCCCACTAGAAGTCCATATGCTCAACGTACTTCACAAAAGGTAAAGTTAGCATAGTGTTAAACTTATGTCAGTATTAAATACTGGCTAAATTTACTGATATAAGTTCTAGGAGTGAGGAGTTTTAACTCACCTTTGACGTAACAACGGCAAAAAACTCGATTTCCCCCATAAATTCCTCAGCTGCCTCTTCAAACTCTTTCAGTGCTAAATGATGGGAAAAAATTAGTGACAAAATAGTGACTAACATAGTTCCGGATTGGATATTTTCAAAAGTTTCTGTAACAAGAAAGGAAAAATTCTCTAGCACAATTAACGGACGTGAACATGAAAATGTTTTCGGCTTTTGCATGAATCAAGCAAAGCTCTTGCTGTGTACTTTCTTAGCACAGCTGACTGTGGTTGTATTAATTCCACTTTACATTACTTCCTTCGATTGATTATGCTATACTGTCTTTGACGAGTTAAAAGAATGACAGGCAGAATTACTACCGTCATGGAGGAGACGCTTCATTTAATTATTTAGGCAATCACTTTGTTTTCGTCCAATTCTCCTTGTAGCCGTTCTCAGTGCTAGGCATATTAACGACAAGGCGGATTTTTCGACAACTGCTAATAATTTTTTTGATAAGTGTTAGGAACTAGACATTCTTGTAGAACTAACTCTACCTATTATTACTAGAGTTGAATGTCCGGGCTACTGGAGTGGTGGAGGCCTAAGGAGATTTTCCGTTCACATCTTTATCGCTCGATCGTTGCATGTGGTGTTAACGAGCCGCGAGCATGGTGGCAATCGAGAGGCGTATTACATAATCCATAAATCGTTCCCAGCCTCTGATACAGATGGTTGGCGAGGGTAACAAACACCTGTGTCCATGAAGAATGTGGTCGTTCCAGACGGTTCATGTAACCTTGTGCATTTCATTTCGTAGTTCCATCCGTCACCTATTCTTCTTATTTTATGACTGGTTCGTCTGTGTTCCACTGTCGATGTATGTTTTCTTGGATCAGAGAGATGCAATAGGTCTCGAAGATATGAGTTGCGCTGTTGTATGCGTTGGTTAAATTTTTATGATATGGTTCAAGCACTCTGTAGGGGTTGAGGAGAGTTCTCACATCTTTAAAGTTTTAGTTCACGTCTCTGTTGTTTAAGAAAAACAGAGTGTGAGTTTGTGGTCGGTTTATTGATCGGTGGCTTTTCTATAAGATTCGAAAGCGGCGGCTGAGGCTACTTTCTTTCGTTTGTCTAATCCTTATTCATGTTGTCCTCCATGCCCATTCAACGAACAATGAAGTGCCACGACGTTGTCTCTATAATCAGAGAACCATCCTCCTCGATTTGTTCACCTTCGGACCATGGGTTTTTCATGAATTGGGTCATCATCCGATTTATGGGTACTCCAATCTTTTCCCCATTTCGCTGACATTACTGATTATTATTACCTTCACCTTTTCCTCGTTTTTACTTCAAAGAAGGATGAAAATGTCTCTACCAAAACGAACACTTGATAGAATATTGCTTTTAATAATTAATATTGTAGGCTTTCCAGGCTCTGAGGAAAGCGAAATCCGCCGAAACGTTAGCTTTTACGTGAGTGGGGAAGTGGAATCGCACCTCGTGTTTGCTGAACAGAAGTGGAAAGAATAATATTGTGATTGGCGTCACAGTGTACTGGCCTAATTATTCACTGTAATGCGGTAGTAAACAGCTTTGAAATGTTATGATGTTGCCCGCGCTGCTTGGATTGCTTTCCTTTCGACGCTGTCACATGCTTTTTCATAGTAGACAAAGTTAGGATAATGAGCATGCGGTATTCCTGATCGGTTTCTATGATCCGGACCGAGGTTTTGATGGTCATCTCCTATATCAGATTCCTGCCAGAATTCTGGTTGGTTATCTCGTTGTGCCTCATACAAAGTTCTTGATATTTACAGTAGGACAATCTCAGTGAGCAGCTTGTAGCACACGCTTAACAAGCATTGTTACGAAGATCCCTTCCGTCGCACTTCTTATGCAGCGTATTTGCACGAGGCGGCCTCCCATGCTGATGGATTCTTTTCCTTCGAAGGTAAATCGTCATATGCTTTACGAGAAGCATACATGATTGTGGGCTCCCAGCTCGAAAACTTGTTTGCCGGAGACAGGATATATAATTTTTCCAGTACACCAGCTTTGTTTTGGTATTCTTTAATAATCAAATTACCGAAGACTTCTAATGAGAAACTCAAATTTTTGTTGGATTTCCGTAATTTTTCTTTAAAGTTGAAAAGATGAATTATTTCACCATAAGAGCTGAATGGGAATTTTTCAACGTCATACGCTTAAAAAAAGTGCCGAATAACATTTAGGTTTCCGAAAGATATTCTTGAAAATCTTACCAGCTGATCCAGGCTCAAAATATCCAACTACTCTCACAGTCTCGTCCTCGAGATCTTCGAATTCTTCCAGATCATGCTCGTCATTAATGATCGTCACTGGATCATCAGGAATCTGAAGGCGACGTATAACACAGCACATCCTTCGTCAGAACGAATAAGCCACAGATAACCTTGGATAGTTGTCAATGAATCTAGCAAAATTTATGCTCTAGTCTCCCTTAATGGCTTGCGGTTTCATCCAAGATGGAAAGTAATCTTGGTATCGAGCTGCGAACTGCGATATCTAGGGCAAAGTTTAATCCTTAGCAGCTTTATCCATACTTAGAAGGGAGTTTATAATCTTACACGGAAACACAACTCTACGAAGTTCTAAATCTAGAACTGAAAGCCACGGGTAGAATAGAGTGCCAGTAATGGCCACCGTTCTTAAAGAGACCTGATTGCCATAGCGATTCCACTTTTTCATAATGGCTGAGCAGACTTTGTTATGGTATAGTAAACTAAGATGGGCTATGAAGTAGTTTTATCGATAATCTGAAGAAAAATTCTGCTACAGCAAGCATTTATGGATAATTTAAAGAGAAAATCTGGCACAATTAGCAAAATACGAGTCAAATGGAAATTGTGTTTGGTCCCGCACTATCCTTTGTAGAGATGAGCCATTCAGGTAAACAAGTATTCAATTAGTTATTTTTTTGGGGTCACTTCTGTTCCCCAACTACCACCCAACACAACCAAAACCCCGAAAAAGTTCTCGTATGCTTAAGTTAAGTAACAGGCAATAAACAAACGCACATCCATCATCCAGCCGACGAACGTTTCAGGATCACGAACACCATTGTACTCGATTTTGAAGCCATCTTTGTAAACATGGATGGTATCCTCTCCTTTATCAACTTCTTAACGCTGTCTTTGAGATTATGAAGAATAATAATAAATCCACAACAAGGTTTGAACTTCATATCAGCCGCACAGCAGCCTTAATATAATATGGTTCATCAGACAAGACACCTGGTCTCTTCATGTTAGATAACATCTTTTAAACCCTGCCACTTTTGTTTAACGAGAGCCTATTTAGAGACTAAATAAGTTGTTGAGCGATTTCCTCAACGAAATTTGAATGGATGGAGTTAGATTGCCCATTTATCATATTTTTTTGGTGATCGAATGAATTCTAGTTATTCTTAAGCTTTATAGTCATCCTACTCTTAATCCGAATCATATTACGCACACCTCAATTTTTTACACTGTCAATGTTGTTTCTTCCCAGAGCAAAGTAAACAGATAGATAAAAGGCTATATATATATATTTTTTTTTTATTTTATATATATATATCTTTTACCTTTTATATATATATATATATATATATATATATATATAAGTGTACATGATATTTCCTGAAACATTCAAAGGTTTTCTGCAATGCACAAGACTTAACGTCTATCAGTAAATTCCAGTTCGTTATATGAGGAGTTATGTACTCATTGACGATGTGCACATAATATGTAAACTCTACCTTCCTGCTTTCTGAGCTTCAATTCTTTTGTTGTGTTCACAGTGAAGAAGTTATAACCACGTTTGGTCATGATTTGTGCGGACAGCTGCAGGAGCAAATTTAAATGTTCGCTAAAATTCCCTCCATATTGGTGCATACCTGCATGAAGCACTCGTATTGATCAAGCTCTGGATCGTCCTCTTCGACGTCGTTAAAGAATACGACAGATTTCGCATCCTCAGCAAAAACGGTTTTGTTAAAGTTCTTTTCTGTCAACACCTGTGAAAGACAGTTAAAACAACAACCAAATGAATGGATTTTTAGTAAAAACGGACAAGCGACTCCAGTGAAGAACTCTCAAAAAAATGAAGACCGAAGTGGATGGAGTTTTAATCGCATACATTATAGCATGTCGAACGTATGTAGCAACACCACTCACCTCCGTTCTATCGAAACCGTCATATTCCAGGTCTGGATACCCTAGAAACATGCACTCCAATTTGTCGGTTTTTTGTGCCGCTAATGCTATCGATGCAGTACAGAGGACCAACCATGGCGTTTTCGAACAGATCATCTACGATGACAAAAATATCGAAGAAAAAATGTGTTACCACACGGCAAAGATCAAGAAGACTAAGATGGCAGGTGTTGCATAATGTGGCAAAAAGGAGTTCTTGCTTTTGCTATCAAATTTTGCCTCATTGTATAAACCACACTTTTCGAATAAACTGATCAAATTTAGCAACATTGTTACTGAGATACTGCAGAACTCCGAACCGCAGGTGTCTGCGGTGGTAACCGAACACGTTAATACCCTTTCCGGAGATTAATGCGTTCTCCACCACACCATACGAGTCCTTCGTTTCGCCTGTCTCTCAGCTAGTTCTATCGATCTCTAGCATCAGCAGTCACCCGTCGGTGGGATTGATCTAGGAGCACAAATAGGCATGAACCCAGTTAAGCTGAAGCTGTAGTATAAACAATAATCAGTAACAAAATAGTAGGCAGTAAATAAAAATTGACGACATTACGATGAAATTTATTTTGAATCCACATAACGAAGCATGGACGTCATATTGTTAGTATCTGAAGCAATACTGTGAGAAGCATGTAAACGTTGGAATACGCGAGAGAAAATAAAGAGTGAGCTCCGACTAGCTAAACAACTGGTTGTAAAGAAGCCTCCGTGTTGAATGGTGCATACCAGCAGAGCCGAGACGAGTCGGGTAACAGGCGGGGAGCTTCTATGAAATGATAGAGCTCTACTCATGATCCAGCACCTTGAATGATCGTCATTCATGACGAACTGAATGTGACTTGAAGCTATGTAGTCGAAGTACAGTGGTGATGTTTATGCGTCACTGAGTCTTACACAATTAACTTAAAGCTATTTCATTTCTTAATTTCGTACTAATGACCAGTGAACCAGTATTTCTTTAACTTTATAAGTCTATGCTATCGTTTATGCCAGTAGCAAAGCAGTTTATCTTTATTTTAGTTCTTCTTTGCTTCTCTATCACAAAACAATTACTATTGAGTGAACATAGCAAAAAGCAATATATTTTCTCAAATGATATAAATAAATATATATATTTACAGGTAACGACGAAACACAGGAAAAGTAGTGAAAATATGGGTGGTGTGTGGACGATCAGAAGATATAGCATCCCGCACGTGATCATCAATAATCACCAGCAAACCCACACAGCAAACATTTCGAGGATCTTCTGGATTTTGAGGCTTACCAGTGGATACGGTGACACAATCAGAAAATATGGTAATGGCTCTTCATTTCAGCGAGCATATGTGCTCGCAAGGACTTTTCGAACGGCTTAAGTGCAAAACTGAGATTACAATAATTTTTTGCAAGGTAAACCAAGGGTGCTCGAAAATGGTTATAACAGTCAAAGTAAAGTATTTTAGCACATTCTAGCAACGCAACGCATATTTCCTCGGCACTTATTGAAGAGTTCCATACTAATTTCAGTGACTCAGGCAAATGCACAGTAGTAACAACAGGAAAAGGTGTCAGAAAACTATGGATAATAAACAGTGACGTTTAAAGCAACTCCAAAAACGTCTTTGAGCCCTGTCTTTCTGATGAATTCCAGTCTCTCTCCAGAAATACACCAATCGGATTTGCTTGCTCGTTTAGTGAACGCTGGTTCAAAAATGTATGACCTTTTTTACAGCACTGGTTGTAAGAGCGTTTAAATAAACACAATATAAATGCAATAATCCTAAGGAGTACCAACGTCTATGTTAGCATCGACGTTTAACACCCGTGAATAGAAAAACGAGGAAAAAAGTTCAACAATCATGCCGCATGGCGAAAATACTGCTGTGAAACATCGAAGAAGTTTCAATTTTTAGTGCAAATTCAACGACATTACAAGGTCTATCGGTTGAGATTACTAAGTTCTAACACTACTACGGCCATCGCAGCGAGGATCCCGAGTATTGGGAGAGACCAACAGCTTTACAATTGCTCAAAGAATGGCGCTCGCATTTTGCGCCATAAGAAAAATTGGTGTAAAACGTTTCAAATGCAAGCGAAATTGTTTGTCTATTTCACAGATGTGTACTAACAAGTTAAAAACCATAAGTGCCTTTGTAAGAATAACTTGAAGAAGTTACTAATCACCACGATTGAGTTAACAAGTGGGTCACACCAGCGGAAACGATGAATCGGGGATGAATGAAGGAATCGGGGTAAATATCACCTATGAAATGACCAGTTAAGGAAAAACTTTTAAAGCAACCTGACCCAAGGTAGACCGAAAACCAGAAAAACATCTATATTTATAAAGTAAATGGAGTATTAAGACTAGGAAATGTCGTTTTATTGGTAAAGTGGACGAGCTGATAGTGGACTAGCATCGTGCCGGAAATAATGGAGAGTCATTCGCGTCAGCTGCTGCAAGACTCGTAGGCTAGTAATTCCAACAAATGCTAGTTGACAAGTTTATGTCTTACAGCCCTTAAAATACTTCATTTGAGTCGTGAAAAGCAGGCTCAATGCTCAAATTTTAAAGCATTCTTTCTCCATTATGCACTTTATGAACAGCTTCATGGAACACATGATGACTGCTGGAATGCCAGTCGGTAAATATCCAGCAAACGCACGCACACTCATAAATCACAAACAGGCACTGGATTCTCTTGACTTCTGTCTGCAGCGAGTAATTTGGAAAGCAGTTGAAGCGCATAACATTGTTGCAGTGGTCCTATAAAAAGCCACTTCAACCAGTTTATTGCCGTTCTTCAAACAGGAACTGCTTAATAGGATTCAAAATTTAGTGCTCTTTTTTTACACAATTTAGTTCCTCATTTCGGCACTGGTCCTTCTCTGAGAATGTACTATAGCGTTTGTTCTCTCCAACGCGCATACCTTTGAGCCAATCGAACTCACAACTTTAAAGAAACGTTCATGATAGCTAGAACCTGCGTCAACTTCTTGTATTAAACAGTTTTATAAATTTTTTAAATCTGTGTAACTAACATTAAAGTGAACGATTCTACCTTCTTACGAAAGGTACAGCCTTCTAAGAAACTAGTTAGATTGTCTACACAGAATTTCTTCTTCTTCTATCTTGTAAATGAGGGGCACTTGCGACGTTTGCGCTTGTTCACGCCCATACGATACTCGTTTCATAAATGAAATCCATTCCTTCTTCCTCAACACCTTCATAGCGTTCTCTCCATCTCGTCTTGCAAGCTTTTTGCAATAAAATGATGATATTGTTGAACAACTCGAGTTGATTGTGGCTGTGGGCGTTTCCGGTGTCTTGTTTTCACATTTTCTTGTATTTTAGAATGTTTTGCTGTTTAGTTGTCATACTATTATATTACAATGACTCCGCATGCTCTAAGAGGCTCATGAGCAGAAATTACTGTCTTCATGTGTATGTTCATATCATAACAACTGTACGTTCTTCATTTGTGGTATAGATGTAGATTTTATGTATATTTTGACCTTAACAAAAAAAGTCACTACAGCTGAGTTTTCGTCGAGCTCGATGTGAATTGAAAACGACGCGTACGGTTCACCTGATCCTGAAAATGGACCACTTTTCTTTTCTTGAAGTTGTACCGCTAGAGTTCGAATTTCCACGCATCTTTGTTTCGCTTCTATTTTTTATGAACATCATTTCTCCTTTGTTCTTATACAGATTTTTCCATACCTTTAAAACATGGCCAACTCATGGACGTGATTTCATAAAAATTGTTTCACAATATAGCCACATTTCTTGTCACTTTTGATAAGACTTTGTGTGGAACCTAAAGTACAATTTTTTAAACTATTTGTTTATATATGACAGTTCCAAGAAATAATTATAACCCACTGGAGTGATTGGAAGTGAGTATACCAAGTCAATGTTTGAGCTGCACAGGTGTCAAACATGTCGGAAGTAGATGAATTGAGCTTCATTTTTGATCTTTTGCTAATCTAGGGTAGACTGACAATATCTCTTATGTTACCTGTTGGTGAAGAAAGTGAAGTGTATTATAGGGCTGGGACGAAGATGATTCCGATGATGTAGGCGGTGGTGATGACACAGGTAGGAAGCGATTGGACACTGTTGTGCTATATGTTTGTTGCTTTTTTAATAATAGCCAACTTAGAGTGGATCTGATTGTGCGTTGATTTGCAGAACTACCGCATCTTTATGAATTCTTTATTTGCCAAAGTTGAGGAATTATGGAACTATTCTTTTTCGGATCTGATACTTTAGACCTAAAATAAGTGCAAGGAAAGATCCAGACGGATAAAATGAGAATTAACATGAATATCGAGAGATACAAAGGAGCGCAGCAGTGGTAATCCCGTTCAGCAAGAAAAATCGCTTATTCCAAGCCGCTCGGGTTCACCGAGTCCTTTCGGAGTCAGGGAACTGGTACTAGGCTCGTCCAGGACCCCGCTCCTTCCAGTCCAGAAAAGCTTTTAACTCTCTGTGTGATTAAAATCTGGGAAAGCACTACTAGACAAAGATTTTAGAGGACAATTGACTCTACATGCATAAAACGACACCTATAAAAAACATATAAATATTAAAATTCAGCGCCTGAACCTACCACAGAGGAAACGAATCGAATGCGAGAAATGCCGGGATCTGCACAATTTGTAACGTTGGACTGTATGAAAAAAGTACAAGATAATGCATGGCAGAAACTTAAGAATGGAATGTAAATGTTTATGATTGTAGCGTGTGCAACATAAATCAACGTTGTAGCGGCAAGAGAACAGAGGCTGTATTGCTTCTGAGATATCACTGTAAACATTGATGAATGCGCACAGAGTGCACGCATAGGTCTCTAGGTGCGACCACCTGCCTACAAGTTTTCTCATCAGTTTTCTTCGGTGGTCGCCATAATGTTGTAATGGGTGAGTCTCTCTAAGCTTCGAACACCACTATTCAAATGTTCCAGAAAACACCAGAGGCGAATTAAAATCGAAAAATCGAAGGAACAGACCCTGTAAAAAAATGTTTTGCTTAACTATCATTTAGAATATAGGTTTTCAAACAGCACGGCACAACATGTGTGATGGCTTAATTATATTCAAAAGATATA